TTCAGGAGAGAGATAGGTCGCCAATTCTTGACGCTCTCGGGATGTTATAAATTTTTGCAAATAAGAGTAATGTAAGACAGGCTTTGAGACGGAGATAATGAATTGGATTTAAAAATTAGTTTGTAAAGATGAAAAAGAACATCACCGAGAACGTCAAAATTGGCGAGATAAAACTCTTTGGTCAATCCGTCTGGACCAGGAGACTTGTCACTTTTCATTGCAGAAAGGGCAGAAAGAATTTCACTCTTGGAGATCTCCTCCTCTAGTGAATCCCTAACAGAGTCACCAAGGGAGGGCAGATCTTCCAAGAAGTGAGCCGCATCAGAAAAATTGAATGCTATCTTTTTTAAACAGGGAAGAGTAAAATAAAACAAAAGACTGCATGATCGTGCTGTTAGTGGTGCAGTGGTGATCACCATCTTCAGTACGGGTAATAGCCTTCCTGGCAGCACGATCATCTCAAAAAATATCTGGAGGGGTTTTCCAGCGCTTCCATCGAGTCAGATTTCGACCGAACACGAGCACCGTCAATCTCCGCGTCCTCCAAACAACGAATCTGTTGTTTAACCTCGGACAGACGCGGAGAGAGACTCCCTGGAGCAGCAAGCTCGTGCTCGGTTAAGATCTGTACTCGACCCTAAGGACAGCTAGCTCTTTGTCTTTAGTTGATTTATTTTTACGTTGAAATTCAACACAAAATTGCTTAGTCTGAAATTTAGTGATAGCTTTCATAAACTGTAATGGTCTTTTAGGACCGAACAAAATCCATTATTTAAATAATTTATTACTTCTTGAACGTTTTGATATCGTTTTTCTTCAAGAAACACATGTTTCCGATATCAAAATCGCAAAATATTTTGAAAAGATACTTACATTTTACAAATGTTTTTGGTCCCTTGGATCTAATCGAAGTTGTGGTTCGGCCATTTTGGTTAGAACCTCACTCGATTTTACTGTTAATAAATTTCACTTTGATCTGCAGGGCCGTCTTATGATCCTTGACATTTCAATAAATGATATATCCTTTAGATTTTTAAATATTTACTGCCCTAATAATCCTTCCAAAAGGAAAGATTTCGCATCTTCTTTGAGTCATCATCTCGTTTCATCTAGGCACATAGTCCTTGGTGAAGATTTTAACTTTATCCATGATAATGTTTTAGACAAGGTTGGTGGTAACCAATCTGTAACATCGTCTAGCGTGTCTGACTTTGATAATATTTTAACACCTTTTAGTTTCAAAGATATTTTCAGACACTTACACCCATCTAATATTCTTAACACCTGGAGAAGCTCCTCAGTAGCTTGTCGGTTGGACAGATTTTATGTCCAATCCGACAAGCTCTCATTATGTCATTCCTTCACGTCTCATGCATTAATTTTTTCAGATCATCTTGCCATCTCTTTTAAATTTATATTAAATCCTGATATTTCCCTGGGCAGAGGCTATTGGAAGTGTAATAGCTCCTCTGTTAACAACATCGAGTTTAACCAGGATTTTAATCACTTCTTTAAAATATATAAATACTTGATTGATGATCTCTCGCTTGAGACGTGGGATGCGTTTAAGGATCTTACAGCACAATTTTGCAAAGAATTTAATAAGAAAATTCGATTACGTAAAGAGAAGGAGGTTTTGGACCTAACATCTGAGTATAGGGCTTTAATTCGCCATGAGAATGTTGCTCCAGGTAGTGGCTCTGTCCGAATCTCGGAATTAAAGCACCAGCTCAGATGTTTAGAAGACCTAAAACTTGAAGGGGTCCGTATTCGATCGAAGGCCGAGTATTTAGAAAATCATGAAAACCCTTCTCGCTTTTTCCTGAAAAAAGAAAAGGATCGTGCTGTAAAAAAACATATAACTAAAATAATAGACGGGAATAATTATCATACCACCAATAAGGATATCATATCTTCTTTTAGTAACTTTTATTCATCTTTGTTTTCTAGGGAAGATATTGACTTACAAGAAGCCTATAGTTTCCTTGAGGATTTGCCTTCCTTGGATGATCTTGCCAATTTTGACGTTCTTGGCGATGTTCTAGTTCAGCTTTACCATCTTGTTTATGATGCAGAGTCGTTAACATCTTCTAAGAAGTTATCCTACATAACTTTTCTCTGCAAGAACTTTGAGCATCCCGAGAGCGTCAAGAATTGGCGCCCTATATCTCTCCTGAACATAGACTACAAGATTTTGTCTAAAGTTTTATCTGTAAGACTTGGAAGGGTTTTAGATGACATTGTCGGGATTGACCAGACCTGTTCTGTTCCAGGAAGATCAATTCTCGACAATGGTCATCTGTTGCGTTCAGTTGTGGACTATGTTCAGGAGAGAAACTTACCTTTAGCGTTCGTCTGTCTGTATCAGGAGAAGGCTTTTGATAGGGTCAGCCATGATTTTTTTATTTTTAACTTTAAAACATTTTAATTTTGGGGCTAATTTCCAAAAGTGGGTACGAATTT